AAGTCATCTCGGAGCCGAATTATGAGGTCTTGTAAATGGCGTTATGAGTCACGAATTTCTGAGGCAGACCCCGCCCACTTTGGTGCATGCTTAGCCCAACAATGGCATTCAACCCTACTCCATACCTCAATACTTATGCACATTTTCCCCGGTCGCCGGAACTTCTAGGAACCGAGTTATGAGAGCGGTGGCAAACTCCGCCCACATCCGGGTGTGCCACGCCCAGCGTTCACATTCAACCTCTACTCCTACTTTCACCTATATATTTTTTTCAGGTCTCTAAGTCATCTCGGAGCAGAATTATGAGGTCTTGTAGGGGACGAAATCGAGCTACGTATCTTTGTGGCAAAACCCCGCCCACTTTGGTGCGTGGGTCCGTAATAACTTCGTATAGCATCGAGGGGGTCGTCGTATCTATCTTCTTCTCCCCAACGGGCTTTTTCTACTTTTCTCCCATCTCTGGAACTTATTGGAACCGGAGTTATTGGAGTTATGAAGTACCGTGGCAAACCCCGCCCACTTTGGTGCATGCTCCGCCCGCCAACAACGGTTGACCCCTTTCCCTCTGCCAACCCTCATACGCTTTTTTCCCGGACTCCGGGACTCCTAGGAACCGAGTTATAAGCCTAATTGCAAACTCCGCCCACTTTGATGTAAGCCACGCCCATCCCTGACATTTAGCTTCCCCTCCCCTCCTGACCTCTATCCGTTGTTTTCCGGTCTCTAAGTCATCTCGGAGCCGATTTATGAGCTCTTGTAGAAAATGCTGTCCGCTTCACGACACGCTCCGCCCATTGTGGGCGGGCCTCCGTTCACATCATGCGTGGTGGAAATACCTTAGGCATTGCTCCCCTGCACTAATTTCGTTTCTGGTCTGTAGGCTTCCTCTTAACCGAGTTATGAATATTTTCACTGAGCACCCATTTTCTAGAGAACGCCCCGCCCACCGAGGGTGGGTCTCCTCAGTTCAATCTGGCTTACCAACCCACACCTATGCCCACTTTTGTCCCGGTCTCGAGGCTGTTTTGTGACTGAATTTGAAATCATGGTCCTCAGTACCACTCATTTCGACGCACGCCACGCCCACTGTGGGCGGGGCTCCGCTTAGGTAATGTATGTTTTTTACTTCTCGAGATATGGTACACCCATCCCAAACATGACCTGGACCCAGTAGGTTGTTGTCCGCTTAATACGGAATTTCGTGACAGACAGACAGACAGACAGACAGACAGAAGAGCTTAGGCGCATGTATATTAGAGTAGGTCTGTTGTTTTCGCAATGTGTCCGGTGGCTCCAGACTTCCATCTAATCGTTTATGATAGCTGATAGTTGACTTTTTGTGCACAACGTATTGTTGGTGTGTGTGTCGTTAAGGCTGCAAAAAATTCAGCAGTACTCAAAATCCTAACGTCCTTATCAACTTATCGCTGTTATCACTTCTGATCATCCGCTGTCCGTGTTCCCATCCCATCCCCTATACCACATATGAGAGCCAAGGGTTGTGTCCTTGTATATTTTAGGTGCTCGGCGGATAGTGTTGGGTCGCAAAGCGGAAACTGGTGGTGTCCACGTATCTTTAGGCCCGTCATCTAGGTTTGCGGTTATCATGTGTTGTCGTACCACGAGTCGTTCACTCAACTTCTTGCTCCCCGCCCACGTCCAAATATCATTACATGGTGTTTGGTTATGGCTATAACTCTCCACCATCAACGCAACGGTTTTGTAACGAAATTGGTGACATCAACATTTCGACGTCCCTTCCCTCCACCCGTCATCAGTGTTTACCTCTGACCCCCTATATACCCTAGAAGTTTGAGCGCTCTGGTTCCGAAGGGGGTGAAGTTATGAATTTCCGGTCAGACCCACACACACACACACACACACACACACAACCGCTTAGCCGATTATACAGGGTGGCCAGAAATTACGGTAACAAGATGAAGGGGTCATAGGAAATCTGTACAACTAGAAAAAGATAGGTGGGAAACAAGAACGTGTTCACTGAAGGGTAATGAATGTAAAACCATATGGTCCTTCCCAGTAGCCCCTATCCGGTTTGAAAAAAGCGCGAAGTCTTCCAGGGAATGCACTGACTGCGGCGTGTTGATGAGCGGCCCCGACCGCGTCCAGGCATTATGAAGCGGTTCCTTCAATCCCTTAACGTCACCATGATGTCAGCGGCAGGTGCTGGTCTTCCCCACTCTTCGTGAAGCGTGAACCAGTAGAATTGGGAACTCTAGGTCGCAACTTTCCAAACGCAATTATCTCTGGGCAATTCAGCTGGCAAGAACTTTGCACAAATTTTCTCGTGTGCCGGTTCAACAGAAACGTTCGATGAGGTTGCTATTTCTTCCCTTGGTTGGAGGAATTATTTGAGTGAGAAAGAAATCGAGATGGTCTTTTCTCTTCTATTTTATGTTTTGTGGAACAAAAGTCAAAAGCGACGTGATTTTCGGTTTCATCACCGTAAAAACCTTCACTGTTTCCGGACCCAGTTATGTCTGAGATATTGAACTTTGGCTTGTTTGGAATACAGTTTTGGTCGCTCTATCCATTCATGACTAATTCGACTGTGAGTACTTCCTCATCAGCGAAAAAGGTTGTCAATATGAACTGAGACAACGCCTCCGTCCAGCTCCAGCTCCTCTTCAGTTTGCTCGCCTCATTGGAAGAGCTGAGCTGTTCCAAGCTAATGTGCCTCACCCATGGGATGTCTTCTGACGATCACATGCAAAGAAGTGCACCTGGTCCCTAACACGGGAAAAAATGACCTGCTGAATGTGCTAGATTCCATCGCTGCTCAGCGCCTACTTTTTCAACATTGTTCTCAGTAACAACAAAAGCTCCTCTCCCACGTGCAATCCAATCGCTTCTAGCACCTAGCCAATTGTTCTTCGCAATAGTGGTTGTTGCAGCTTTACTGAAGATCCTGATTCGCTTTGCAACGTAACACCACCAGACATGTTGAAGAAGCAAGCGGGTCGTTATTTCATGAAGAGCTAAAGGCTTAAACAATCCAAACTAGGTAGAATCCGAGTGGTAAAATTAAAGAGTGAACATCGTATCAATAGAATCAAATGCGCAAAGCTATACTCAAAACCCCTTTCGTTTAATCTTAGAATTGTACACGGTACGCTCTTGTTACCGTAATTTCTGGCCACCCTGTATATAGTAGGATTCTTGGTCCCCGCCTCACCCACATATCATACATGAGTGCAAACTCTCCACCATCAACGCGAACGGTGTAACGAAATTGGTGACATCAACATTTCGACGTCCGTTATCAGCTCCTATCAGTAGTTATCACTTCCCGCCACCCGTCATCAGTGTTCACCTCCGGCCCCCTATATATCCTAGAAGTTTGGCGTCAAAGGGGGTGAAGTTATGAATTTCCGGTCAGACACACACACACAACCGCTTAGCCGATTATATATACTAGTTGGATGGTGATCATTCACGACATTGCCTGCAAAACTTGCCTAGCACATGGGTTTTAACCTTTGGTTCACCGCTGCATGAGTGATATCGCTACCACTGCACACCAAAAACTTCTTATCGGCGGTGAAATTGTAGAGAAAAGAGAATAGCCTCCGAAGGTTGCAAACCTTTAGACTTATCGTAGTATTGATCCCGCGACTGATCCAACACCAACGTAGACCGCAGGCGCTACACCACTGACGAATCAATGCAAGGTGCCTCCCTTTCCCTTTCCAACACCGTGCTTTGACCCACGCACCTGGCAGTTTGAAGTTGGCCAACTCCAGCGAGCCCTTCCTGCGCGTTCTTACAGCTGCGCGTAACAAGAAACAACCATGTCAGGGAGCTGCGGCTCACCTGGTAGGCTTTCCTCAAGGTTTCATAAATAGGTCTCCTAGGTGGCTAGGTGGTTTACCACCATCTCTAATGTTTTGGTGGGAATATTCCTTGTTTTTCTTACCCTGATGAGAAACAAAGAGTGATCTTCTTTTGGTGATCTGATGAGATAGAAATCTCCTTCCAAGTAAAGCTTACAATTAGTTCGCTCTTTAGTGGAGACTGTGACTGCACTTAAAAGAAGATGATACGAAGCAGTCGCTGCCAATGACTCTGCAAGGTTCTTGTGTGCATGTTTTTCACGCCCTCCCATGCTATTGAAACGACGGATTTCCGTGAAACTGGGAGAAGGGCGCAATGCCACAAAATTTGAGATGGATTTTGCTCTCTTTCGCTACAGATGGATGCATTAAGAGTTTTTTGAAAGTAAAAATTCAATGATACACAGATATACATCAAGAAAAAAGCGCCAAGAATGTCGGATAGTTATGCGCTAACGTATTCAGTCGTTCGCTGGCCACCTTTTCATGTCAGAGCGTTGATGTGTATTCACACGCAACATAAACGTGAGCGGAAATCGGATCTGGTTTCGCATGGAGTTGTACTAGGTTGGAAGGAATGTTAGCAGCGGATCTGCCCGTAAAGAGGAGCTTTGTACAATCTGCTTGTCCCTCTTGCTCGAGCAGCTTGTCTAGTATAATCATGAAAGGTAGTAAGTGGGACTTAAAGTTAGGTGTTTTCCTTACTTCGTGCTTTTTCTTGAAGCTTTCAAGTGCAGACTGCGCTAGTAGCTGAGGGTGTCTGGAAAGCACCATCTAGCCGTTTTTCAACTTCCCAGTCGATGTCGTTTTATCGAGTGAGGTTTCGTGAAAGCTGACATCATCGCTGGTCCCCAAGTATAGTTCTTCTCCTTCTGTCTATGTGGTGGACACTCATCCTCCAACTGTACCTCGCTCAGTCCGAATACCATATTAGGTGTTCAAACATTGGCTCTGACCACTAGACGAGAATGATGCCCACCATGTTTGACCGCAAAATGGTCATCTGCAATGCCGGACGTGTACGCCTCTCCGCCAACCAAAAAAATTTCAACCACGGAATCGTTCCCCTATAGCTAGTGAAGGCACTTATTATTACAGCGGAGTGGTGCCTTTGTCTTAACATCCACCACAATTTGAGCATTTTAGCACTTGGCAGAACTACGCTACTTGGCATCTGTATGTGACGAGAAAGTGGCACTCTACAAAGTGGACGACGATGCTGCATGGGACGTCCAATGGCTGTCCGAATTTGTAAAAAGCAACATCACTTTGAATGGATTCTTCTGCCCTCGGTAACCAATTCTTTACGATTTTTATTCTCATTTGTTGATTGATTTTAACATATTGTGCCCCAAAAGGTCGGTCGTAGCCGGTCCCAAACTCAATGGGGAAGAAGGGCAGCTTGTGAGACTGCTTACAACTTTCTCAATGTGGTGAGAACTTCTTGCTACAGAAACTGCGATCGAGTATGGAGTTGCAAAAAAGCAAAGCAGGAGACCGGACTCTAGGCTTACAACGGGTTTCTTCTCCAAATTAATTTTTCTCACTCAAAAAAACATGCATAAATACACGTTACGTGTGTTCCTACGCTCAATCGAGCTGAAAAGGTCGCACAGCTAGAATCTCATTTCCTGAGCCACTAATTCAGTGATTACCAATTAATTCATTTTGCATTTCACTTGCTGAATTTAGCATTTCACTTGCCCAGAAACAATAGTAGAAGTCACCAGTGCACAAGCAGACAAAAGTGAGTGCGTATAAGCCATCGCACCCTTCCTATGATGGTTAAGCGTGCGTCATGGACCTTGACGAGGAGAGTTCCATTTAGGGTCAACCGAGTGTTGCGCAGTTGAAACTTTTACGGCCCCCCTTTCGGAGGGTAAGAGTACAACCTCTCCCCTATATTAGCTACTGTGTATTTTACACATTTTTATGCCCATCATCGGTGTATGGGCGTCACCGACATGGAGAGTGGTGGACAGTCAAGTCCGCGCGCTTTGTCTCGCTCAGAGGACGGGAATCGAGGCAACATGAAATTTTACTCATTGAATATAGAAGTATTTGCAAATTTCTGCGTAAACCAATACATGAGAGTTCGCAAGGATTTTCACTCGTCAGAAACCCACCAAAAAAGCTTTTTTTTCGATCTCTCAATTCTCCTTTTTTGATAAGCTGAATAACTAAACCTTGCAGCAGTTATGCTACTATACTAACCTCTTCATTCAAAAGGGCGGTCACATGAGATGGGATACAAAAAATTCAAAACTTTCGATTGTTCTCTAACTAAAAAGGTTCAAACCGTTGCAAATGTTCAATTCTTCAGAAAGTCGCCCGTTGTTCCGTTTTTTGTGCACACGCGAGTTTTCACATTCAAACATTCATAACTTTCTTCATTATCAACTTTTTGCAGATGTTAAGGCTAATTAGAAACTAGAAGATTAGCGCTTTCGAACAAGCACCTGAAAATTTTCCAAAGATCACTTTCTCAAAAAATAGTCCCGTTGTTCCGTTTTTGGGGGTTTGTGGTCCGATTTTTGAGAAGGCGCGAGTTTTCGACATTCAAACGTTCATAACTTTCTTCATTATTAACTTTTTGCAGATCTCTAAGGCTAATTAGAAACTAGAAGATTGACGCTCCCGAAAAATATTTGAACTCTCCTGAATCAACAAAGGCCACGCTTTCGCAAAATCGTCCCATTGTTCCGTTTTTCCCTCAACGGCTTTTTTGAGACGTTCTCCTCCAACGCGAGTTTTCAGTCTTCAAACGGCCTTAAGTCCTTTCAAAGTCGGTACATTGAGAGTTGGTATTACGGAAGCATTGAAATCAACAAGATCAGTACTTCGTAGCATATGCTAGATTATCTTGAAACGGAAGTCCTGGGACAAAACTGGTTTACAGGGCGCTTCGTAGTGATGAGTGAGCTGCGGAAGAAACTGAAAGTGAAAAGGAAGAGTAGGAGAAACCTTGGAAAAGCCAAAATTGAGGCCTTAACCCACAGTAACGTCGGATGTGGTACGATGGCGAGAAAGGGCGATCAAAGAAGACAAAACACGCGAGAGAGCACGCCGTTCGAGAGAGCACGCTGATCTCTATATCATAGCGGTGGGTGGGAAGCGTTGCAGCGGGGTCGATGGTTGCAGGTTCGTAATGGATTAGCGCCCTAATCGTGCAATTTGGGCAACAAAGCTGGCAAGATCTACGGTGGTGTAGACCCCACAACTTCCCTCGCTTCAAAGGAAGACCTTTCACCTGCCAGGAATTTCTTTTAGGGTTCTAGAGGTCAATCCGTCGAAATCGTTGCAATTTCTCTCACTTTGATTCGGTCTGAAAGCATATGAATTTTTTGGAACAATCTATTTGCTCATGCTCACTCTGACCTCTTTTCCCACATAGCCATGCCTTAGCACCTTCAAATTTTGTGATATACTTGAGGTTACGCCCCCCCCCCTCCCCTTCCGCTGGCGAAATACGACCCCCTCGTTGTTCTGTGCCCAACGGGCGGTTGACCATGGTCGCACTTGGTCCGGTGGGAGAGAGTCGGGATCAGCACTAAGTATCGATGGCTCGTTCGTGAAAGGATGGGAACCGACTCGCGCTGAGTGTCGAGGAATGTTGAGTGAGAGCGCGTCACTGAACTAGCCTGACCAATTCCATGTGCATCAGCTGCTGCTCCATGCACAGGACATGAGAGTTGAAGAGACATCAAAAGGTTTTCGGAAGGGACTATGTGAAATAAGTGAAGGGAGTCGCCTTAAAACGGAATACTATCCTTCGCTTCAGCATCCACACATGAACTCACATCCTTTTGAAGCTTTCGGTGAGACCTATGTATTTGAGGAAGGAGAATGCATGAGTATACTAGATCATCTTTGATTTAGCATGAACTTATCTAACCGGGATAGAAAGATGGGTCAAAGTGGTCATATGTGAAGAGACCGTACACTGTGGATGCGTTTTTGGACGCTGATCTCGAATCTGCTTTCCAAATCTGCCAAACGATTTTCCGAACGGAGTTATGAAGCAAAATAGAGCAGCGGTAGTGGTCCGGGCTCACGAGCGAGAGGTCGTAGGATCGATTCCTTAAAGGGTGGTCTAGCTACAGATTCGTGTTCTTATCTACGGAACACGAATACAACACCTACGCTGCTGCAAAGGTGCCTGTCAAGATTTCTGCAGGCTCCATGTGCAGTCGTTAGCAAGTATAGTGACCGAACTTGCTGAAAACTCCTCGCGAACTCTTCGTATGAGTAGCTAAAGGCAAGCGTTGATCAAGCAACCTAGTTCGGAGCTTTTTTCAACCATGATGCCGCGAAGGCGAAAGAGAGAACTAGGGAATCAGTCCTACGACCTCTCTCCCGTGACGCCGAGAAACTACCACTACTCTATTTTGTTTGATAACCCCGTTCACAGAATCGATCGGCAGATTTGGAAACCAGATTCGAGATCAGCCTCAAATTTTATCTGACGTCTTTTTCCTAATCTTTTCAATCTCTTTGAGTCTCATTGCATATAGCCACTTCAACCACCATCCTCTCCTGGAAAGAAAGAGGCTACAGTGTTCGTGACAACGCGCCGAAAGGTGCCTCTCTGCGCTGCTTGTGCAAAGTTCCTCAATGAGGCCATTTACGATACATTGGCTTGTTCCGATTTTGACCCTTAACACGTTGACGACATTGTGCAGCGCATGCGCATCACACCTTGAGCACCGTGTGGGACCGTGTGCAGCGCATGCGCTGCACACACAAAATATTTATTTTTTTCGCGCATGCGCTACTTCTTTTCTAATTTTTTGCATCTATTCTATAGACTACACCATAATATGACTAGACACGGCGAGGTTCATTGAATGGTTGAATATGCTCCTTTTTAGCGAAGGTTTTCTAAGCCCTACGAATTTCCCAATTGTGTTCATTCCTAGTTTCCTTTATATTCTGATAATCTTGGTCATAAAAAAGAGCAGTAGAAGTAAGTACAGACCCACACATATAGCAAGACATATGTTTTTAGTGGAGCAACCGCGTCAAAAATAATTTTGAGGTTCAGTAAATTCGATCGATTTTTTACAATTGTCCCTTCTGATAAGTTTGACACATCGAATATCATTCTAAACATTTTGTTGCATCCGAGTTTTGGGTATTTAAAGCTCAAAATTCACGGATTTGATGTGAGGCGGCGGCGCCTGCAAAATCGCCGTGGTCCCACGCGGTGCAAAAACCCAAAACGCGCGTTGTCGTCAACGTGTTAAAATTGCTTTTCACACGATTGCTTCACTAAAAACATATGTCTTGCTATATGTGTGGATCTGTACTTCGTATTGGCCCGCTAGGAGGAAGAGATCGGGCCGGATTGACGAATCAGTTACTATTACATTATTCGTAATTACTTCAGTGTTTTAGCACTACAGTTAAAGAATCCGAAATTCGCACGTTTTCCAAGGGATATTTTATCTTTCAAGTGAGTCCTCGAATCTGAAGGGATGTGAAGCACACGGCGCATCCCAGAGTGGGCCCAGTTGGTTGCGCGCGCTTCAACTACGGCTCTCTGGAGAAAGAATCTCAATTCAGGAAAATCAAGAGGATTCTGAAAGGGTTCATGTGAAATTACAGGAGGAGTACACTATTCAAGAAACGCAGCCTTCAGCGTCAAATTCATAAGCATGTAACCTTTAAAGTTGAGAAACGCTAAACAATTTTACACTTCTTGGAAAGAGAAAAGCACGAGGATTCCAAATCTGCTCTTACTTTAGTACATAATCGCCCTTAAAAGGATATACAGCCGTTGAAATAGTGCCAATGTAGCGAAAAAGTACCTTTCGGCGGTACTCGGGCAAAAATCCTCAACGTGGCCGTTTTTTTAATACTGGACGTTTGGAGCAGTTCTAGTAAGCATTTGATAGAGCAAATCTTCTAGTTTATGATGACGTATTAACTTTTCGATGAGTTTGAACGGAGTTATGGCTTTGGAAAGCGTAAAAACTCGCACTCATCACGAATTTTCCTCGTTAATTTTGCAAAAATCCTCAACGTGGCCATTTTTAAATACTGGACGTATGAAGCTGCTTTAGCAACCGTTTGATAGAGAAAATCTTCTAGTTTTGTATGACGTATTAACTTTTCGAATTTGACGAAAATGAAGCAAGTTATGGCTTCGGAAAGTGTAAAAACTCGTGCTCATCATGAATTTTCCTCGTTAATTGATCTAAATTTGTTATTTCTTATATTTTTGTAATTTCAATACTGATTAGAAAGAGCTCTTCACAAAACTCCCAAATCTGCTTTCAGATTGAAAATT